TCTATAATTAAAAAAAAAAAAAAAAAAGAAGTTTGCTGGCTCCTGCCGTCCATCGGTGGAATTGGGAGAGTGACCAAGCATTCCGCACTACACACTGCGAGCTGAGTAGTGGTATCACAACCGGACTCACATGGGAAGGTCTTCCTTTTGAGTCTCAGGGCTTCCCTGAGCACGCCAGGCACACACATGTGTACCCATGATCCGGGATTGCTGAGGCTAAGACTAGGGGTAGGCCATGGCAGGAAGACCCTGTTGGAGTGCCTGTCTCTCTCTCTTCCTCTCCCTCTCTCTCATGGAGGAAATGAACAAACAGACTTGAGGAAAGATAATGAGCTGGGTATATCTGACCATGAAGTCCGGCGGGCCCCGTGACAGTCCATCATAGGATAGAAATGGCCGATCCGAGATGGAGCCTGAGCAGGAGCAGAGGCCATGAGTCTGCTACATGAGTATACGTCACCCTTCGTGGTTGCACCGATGCCCCTCCCTGAGGCTGAGGAGGAGTCCCGAACCAGTTGAAGGAAGAAGAATAGCTCTTGAGTTTATGATCGGTTGGTTTGGTTTGTGAGTTTGGGCTGAAAATGGATGACGGCTACATTATGGCCACACTCAGGGATGACCTTGAAAGACAGTGATAGAAAGTTCTCAGTGAGCGGAGCTTCAAGCAGTGCGCATAGTCATGCACTTTGGGTGGAAGGAAAAGTGGCCTACAGAACCTCGGCCAGAGCCACCATCCAGGGACTTGAGGGGCATGTGACCCCCAGGGATAGACTCCTCCCCCTCCAGACCAGGGGACTCACTTCCCAGCAAAACAAGTACAGAAGCGGCCATGACTAACGGTCTTAACACACACATGGTACCACCCAAAATCAGCCACGGCATTGTTCCCAGGGTGTTGGCATGACCTGATAGAGCTTGAAGGCGACACACCAGAGAATGGCATACTGTCATCCATGTGCACTAATTACATTGAATCAGAGATGTCTACATGGGTCTGGAA